TTTTTTTAATTACCTTTTGCACAGTGAGAATCTCCATTACTTTCATCTAAAGAAATCCTGAAATAAGACATTTGAACTCATTCCAAACAGTCGCTTAGAAACTATCTATCAATTGGAAGATTTTCCTTGATCCCATCAAATTTTGGTACAACAATCTGTAAGACGTCGTATTAAAATTAAACAAGGATAATATTATATTAAGAGTTTTCATAAAATGAATAAATTGATGGTAGAAACATAGAATTATTGTTGAAAAATTGATTATAAAATTTGAGTTTCAAGCGTATTGACTTTCAAAGTAAATTGAGTTTTGAAAATGTTTAAGTTTGACTTTAGATCAAAATAAGGTTTCCATTGAATTAGAAAGGTCGAAAAACATTGGAAGAGGTTATATGAGTTGTATTATAAGTTTAGAGAAATTCTAGAGTTAAAACTATTTTGGAGAGGATTTTGGTAGAAAAGAGTTTGATACTATATTAGAATTTTGGCAATAAACTTTTATCCCAATGTATGATTGACCTAAAAAATTTTACAGTATAAACTAGATTTCAAAGACTACAAAAGTGTATTTCACGAAAATTTTATGAATCGGCCTCTTACAAGATCAAAATTGATCTAAAGTCAAAGACAAACTGTTACCTACGCCCAGACGAAAATTCTCTATTTTTAAGCCTATAAAAATCATAGGGCCGCGAGCTAATGTGTCTTTATCTATATTTTCAACCCCAAGAATCCTAAAAAAGTTTGAAGAGAAGAAAAGGAAGAATGACATGTTGAATCTTGAATGATTAACACGCGGTAATTGCAACAAAATATGTTATGATCAAGATCTCAAGAATCAAGAAAGATATTTTTTCTCAGATTCATTCATTGATGTTTAGGATCATATGATATATCTTTTTCATCCTTATTATGATATAAATAATTGATCTACAATGATTGTACATTTCTTTTGAATCTATGATTCGTTTTTTGAACAAAATACATGATTTTCTTCCAGGATCAATCCATTCTTGATTTAAAATTTAGTTCTTTTGACTCTTATTCTATATATGTGATAGATATAGAAAGTTTTTACATTCTTTTTTTAATATATTATTAAATTCTTGAATAAACAGATTATTTACATACAAATAAATGTTTTACATCCAAAAATCACATGTTCTTGACTAAAGAACCCTGGTTCTTGATTTATTATTTAATCTTCACATGTTTTACATCAAAATTTATATGTCTTAATTACAAAAATCCTAGTTCTTAATTACCATCAATTCAAATATATTTTCTTGGGGATCTATTGTATGTTTTCTTGAATTATTCATTTGAAAATATTATGGAACTATGATTCTTAATTGTAGTTGAATTTTATGAAAAAGTTGTGTAATTTATCTCTTGTATGGGTGAATGTGATGAACGTGAATTGCACCTGAATCTATATCGTAGAGTGTTTAGAAGTTTTTTCTTTTCTCGAGGGGTTTTGAAGGTTTCCTATCACTCGTAGTGAGGTTGGTACCTTGCAAGGACCAAACTACTACTCGTTCATGGTGATCATGGTTAGGAGTTAGTATACTAGTCCTAAGAAGGATTTGTCATTGTCGATGCATTAATATATGCCCTTTCTAAAGTTTATGGCCTTGCGGGGATTAATTTGATGGTTTGTAATTATGATGTGGTGTGGACCAAATATGTTCATGTTGTAGTTTCATGCTAGTCTACCTACGTACATGAGATATAATATTTGTGAATAACTATTGCATTGTGACTGATTTTTACTTCTATGAACTTTACCATTTGGTACTGTAAACTTGAGATCTCATTAAAGGTCATTGTTTTACTTCAAAATTATATATATTATTTTACAAACTATGACTTACCTATTTTCATGATTTTTAAACTTTGTTATTGGGTTTTATTGCTCATCCTACTATAATATTTTTTAGATTTTAGTGTTGAGGAGAATCTAGAGTTAGATGAGCTGGTAGATTGAGATGCTAAGGAGGATCATGATGTGGATTAGCTGTGAAAGTTTAAAAATGAATTTTTGTCTTTGGAGTTTATATTTGACGATTTACTTATGTTAAGGATTTATTTATGTTTTTTTTGAGGATTTATCTAATCAAATATTAAATTATGAATGGTTTTATTTATTTAATGATACTTTAGTATGCTCTCATGGTTGGATGTTATACAGATAATTAATGTCTTTAAGGTAGATTTTGGGGTGTTATAAGTTTGGTATCAGAGTTTAGGAATTAAGTCTTAGATAGGAGCTGCAGGTTGTGGATTATCATTGGAGTGTTAGGTTAAATTGAAGAAACTCTACACTTGAATTTGTTTGAACTTATATGTTTATAAGATAAATGTAATTTATTGTTTAGTTTGGTTAAGAATTACTTATTTGTTCTAATTCATGGATTAGCTTGTTTAAAGGAGTTGACGAAAATTTTGGGATGAATATGCTAGTTTTATGTCATGTTATTGTGGACTATTCTAGGAGATGAATGGTAATTTGACTTTTGATTTGTACATAATGCTATAAATGGATCTTTATGCAAGTGATATTATCGATATTGGAGATGAATATGAGATAAGATTTATGACAAAAAATACTCAAACTCGAATTAGACAATCGTAGCAGAACCATCAGTCTAGTCAAGCAGACTATCTTTCACTAATTGGATCATAACTTTTTTTTGAAAAGTTCAAATTGTGCACCGTTTTTCTATTAGAAACTTAACTCATATATATTTCCAACCATATAAGTCACATGCGCTAGAAATACCTGAGTTAAATTAATTTATTCTCCGAAGTTGATCAAAAATTTGCACTGTATTATTCCTTAGATATCAAAGTGTCGTGATTTTTTTTTCTTAAACTCTGAAGGATTTATCCTTAAGTGAGCTTTCACACTATTTAGGCTTTGACTTAGAGACACCCCCTTGTTGATTGAAGTGTTTTGTGGGATAACAATATAAAATATGAGTATGATTTGGTGTCTTGTTGACTCTAAGTATTCTATTCTACTATTAGTGTTGCTTATATTTTTTGGAAGTTAAGGAGATGTGATAACCCCATTTGGATGTATGAAGATAAGGTTAACTTAAACTTTGAATAATAAGGTTGGGAAAAATTATGTGTTACTCAAAAATTATAGAAATTGAAGAGATATGGTAAAGTAACATCGAATGGGAGCCTATTTTTGAAATAAAGATTGAAATTGTGATTATTGGTCTTAAATGAATAGGATGTTGTTTTATAACTACGCACTTGAGATTACCAATATTAGTTTGAAAATATTACGTAGTATTGATTAAACTTCTTTTGAAAGTATTAATAGTTTAGAAGAGCCATAAGTAGAATATTCATTGAGAACGATATACTTAGATAACATTATTTTGTGGAGGATCTAGTTAACTATACTTATACTATCTAAAGTATTAACAATCAAAAATATCTTGGTTGAGTGTGGAGTTAATAGTTGACTTATATTTACAAATTTTGATTGAAAATATGAGGTCGAGTTATGGAAATGAACTTATAAACATGTAAAAAGAAAATTTAGGAATCCTGACTAAGTTGTAGTAGTTATCTTTGACCCTAGATATTGTGGGATTAAAGATTATAGAGGCTTAAAAGCTCGAGGTTAGATATAACAGACAATTATTAAAATAAGGATGATATCTAAAGTTTAATATAAACTTCTATTATTCTATTAGATCTTTTAATATTTT